CCCACGCTCCCTCCCCACCCCCCCCCCCCCCCCCCGCGCCGCGCCCCCCCCCCCCGCCCCGCCCCGCCGGGGGGCGCCCCCGCCCATGTCCATAACATCCATCATTTTTTGAAATACGATACAATCGAGAGGTCTAGGATGAACAACTTTCAAACACAATGCTTGTTGGAAATTTTTTCACTGCATGTTTCAACTCTTGAATCAATGTTGCTTTTGATGTTACTTTGCCCAGTTGATAGTATGAACAAATAGTTCAAAGGGTTCAAATCCGGACTATTTGGCGGCCAATATATTTATCGATAAATAATGGGAAACTATCATGACACCACTGTTGAGTCCGGTGATTAGTGTGAAGGCTCGCATTATCCGATTGAAATGTCCAACTATCACGAAACACTTTATTTCCGTATTTAAGAACTACCGGAAGTACTTCTTTGATGTAACGTCTGTGATCGACCGTACCTTTATCAAAAATTACCAACGGTCAAACCCCTTTTGAACTCCACGAAACCATAACTTTTTGAGAAAACTTTCGTTTCTGTTTGATCTCACCATTCTTATCAGCTTCAGCTCGATTTACTACCCATATGCAATCATTTTGAGCATTGTACCCCTCATCAATGCCAAACATCTTTTCATCGAAAACAGGATTTTCATTGTTTGATCTTTTCGATAATTAGTGTGGATTCAGTTTGTAAAACGTTTTCCGTTTGACTTTCTGCTCATACATGAGAAATGGTTCGATTATTTTCTTGCAGACATCCGAGATTATTTCTGAATATTCGTTGAATACTGGTCCATGAAATATCCAGTTCACCAGCAAGTTTTCGAGGCGACACCGTCTTGTTTCGTTTTAATCGATTCTTCAGTGTTTGGATTGATGACTTGGTTCGGACGGTGCGTGTCTGATCGGGAGATGTTGACATTTGAATAGAGCCGATTCTGTCGATCATATTGTTCTATCGTTAAATTGTTCTAAAACAAGCAACACGGTTCAAATCATCAAATATTTTCGTTCGATTATCACCGTTTTTCTTTGTATTTTGAAAAGACAACGTTTTGTAGATCGTTACTTATCATTATCTACAAATGGCATTTAATCATTTATGAAAGCGAGAAGCATATAATTTTGTAGAGAATTGGATGAGGAATCTTTAAGAAAAAAATTAAGTCTGGACAGATAAAGATAAAAATAATTATTCCAGACATACTAAACAAGACATTTTTGATGGGCCACCCGTTACAGACACTTCTCAGTTGATAATCAATTGTGTATGTGACTTTATTGAGAAAAGCAAGGAATAGTAGAGAATGAATCAAACTGTTCATCGCATTTTATTCTGAATTCCTTCTTTTCTTAACATCATATGGTCTGTTATTCTCTTGCCCTTGATATCATATGGTTTAGTTGATTCTTTGTTTCAAATACTATAGACACAAAAAACGAAATTCTACCTTTTCTTTTTGTTTTTATTATTATAGATTTTCTTTCTTCTTCTCTCTTTTTTCTTTTATATTGTTAACCTGTTTTATGCACCTGTACAACATGCTGTAGTAACCTTAGGACCGTTTGCATGTCTTACTAGTTATTTTATCAGTAAAAGTTTTAAACTAACGATTATATTTTAGGTGATCGATTTGCTTTTAATCAAATATATAATTACAACGATAAAAATTTTGTCCCGGGTGTACCTATCATCATATCAATTGAATCACAATCTTTCCATAATAAATTTTCAATATTATTCAATCCGTATTTGTAAGTAAAAGTCTGTCCAAAATATAATCGTATTGTAATGCAATGAGAAAGATAGTAAAAGTTTTATATAGAAAATTTTCTCATTTAAAATCAAAATTAAAAGCTAAAAAATCACACTAACATTTTAACACGTATATTTATTAGTCACTGGTACTGATTGGAATGAAAGATGAATATTATTTGTTTATTTATATAGGTACGTTGTTACAATTCAACATGGTTCATTCGAAGGTGTCTTACACAAATGTTATAATGATTTTGTTGAATTACATAAAGGTTTACTCAAATTTGTTGAAACAGAAACAAATAGAACAATTGAAAGCTTAAATAAGTAACGTCTAATATATATAAAATAACTAAACGTGATAAGTTCAAGACTTCTTAATTGAGATTACTTTTTATAATTAAAGGAATAAAGTTGATCTCAGTTTGAAAATGGCATATTCTATCAATTTTGAAAAGTGATATCAGTTTGAAAAATGAGCTTTTAGTTCCTAGTTTAATAAAATATGGATTCATAAACTGTATATAATATAAATTATATATACTAGATAGAGTGAAGTGAAGGCTTTATAGCTTGTAGGTTCCACTTTATTAAAATATGGATTCCTAAACTATTTTTATC